CCCCGCCGCACAAGCCCACAAGACGCCCGCCGGAAGCAAAAAAGGACCGCCCCCCCCGGACGCAGCGAACCCCACAGCAAGGAAGGCACAGGGGCCCGCGCCAGGGGGCAAGAAAGGGGCGGCCTTTCGCGGGGTGTTGGGGGCTTCGGGGCGTGGTGGCCGGCGCGGCGCCCCGCCATGGGCGGTTCAGGGGAAGTGGGGGAACCCCAACAGCGCCCCCACACCCCACCACGCCAAACGGACAGACCCTTATAAAAAAAAAGTTCCGGCGCTTCAAAAGTTTTTTGTTTTCGACCCATTGTTCCAATTGAACAAAAGCACCGCGCTGCAATATGCAAGAACTCTGGTATTTTGAACGGCTTCGGGGCGGGGGCTGGGTAATATGTTTTTTAACCAGCCTTCAGCAATTGAACGCCGCAAGTCGAATAAGAGAGCCCATCCCCATGGAGAGATGGAAACTGGACCCCGTCAGCAATGCAATGACCCTTCAAAGAGGTTGCCGTCCCTTCTGCGACATGCATGGGTAGCGGCCAGCCGGCGCGGCGACATCGCCCAGCTACGGAAAGGGGGTTGCATACCACACCCGTGGGGCAAAGACGGCTTCATCATAAATTAGAAAGCTGTCCCGAAAATGTTCAAAACAGATCTGCGCAGAGCGGCAAAATATTTTGCGATTCGATGGGAAAAGGGTGGGGCGGGAGAAGGCGTAAAGATGACGCTGACCCCCATTAAGAGCATAATGGGGGTAGGGTGAAAACTAACAAAGTTAACAATATCAGGCATGGAAAATATTATTCATCCGGTGGAACGACGGCGCGTACAATAAAAAGAGATAACGACCCATCTGCCTGCAGCGGTGTTTGAACAAAATCTTGGTCCCCGGCTGCTGGCTTGGTTGGGAAACCGCACCGACCCTTCGAGTTGCCACGTGGCACCGCACAATGCTTGGTGCACATGGCCTCACTGGTAAAAAAAGGCCTGGAATGTTAATGTCACACATGCAGGCGTAATCAAAAAATGAGCTTCACTTGTAAGAGCCGTTTTGAAAACATAGAAATACAAAGGAACGCTTGTTTTTCAGGGATATGGGATTTCGCTAAGAACTCATTGCACAAGAGCTGCTACTTAAGACGAAGGAAAAGAATTGCCCTACAAGAGGTAGGCGCCAACACACCACCACTGCACTTAGCAATAAGATGGCTCAATTCAAGGACTCTGGACCGAATAAATGGGGTATGTGAGACCATGCGGCATCCAAAAACCCCCCTTGCGGATATCTGAGGGTGGCGAAAAGGTAATGGAAAGCGCTGGTATTATCCAAAAAGCGGCAGCACCACCTGCTGCACGTGGGGCGGTGCCTTTTGTGGTCGTTGGAGAAAAACCGTCAAGACTCAGGTGACACCTCATAGCTTGGCCAAATCCGAGATTGATAATGTGAACTTCAAAGCCGTGGTGCCTCTAGGATATATCTCGCACCAAGTGGGTGGGGTTTGCGTTAAAACAGCCCCCATTCCTGTTCTAAAGGCGTTGTTTTTTTTTGCTTGATTTACCAGCAGAAATGTGTATGAGCGCCTGATCTGGGGCCTCGCCAAAGCGTGAAGGCGCGGAGGGGCACTATTGGACATGAGATGCGCCGTCCTGGCACAAAGTGTGATAGCGGAAGGCCCCTGCCAATAAATAGGAATTCATTAGGATTTGGCCCTGGCGATGCCCTCCAACTCTATCGCGGCAAAAGGGCCCCGCTTGCCGCATTCCGTGGGGAAGGCGTGCGCAAGAAAACTTCGCCACTGAGGAAGCTTCGCGACCCCAGGCTCAAAACAATGCGCATCGTAAGGAACGGCCGTGCCCCATTGAGGCACAGGGGTTCTCTTACCGGCCTTGGGCACGCCCCGCCGCTTTATCAGCATCATTCTTGCGGTAGTGGGGGGAATGGTCTGTACGTTGCCTTCTTTCGAGAAATCGAGAAGAGTAGAGAACATTTTATGTTTTATATTGGCAAAAGTCTTCTTATTTCGCATAGCTGCTCTCTGAAGGGAAATACCGAATATTTACTGGTGATGAAACGGTTAAAAAAGGATGTGATGAAAGGGAACTTAAGCCGCCACCACGCTTTCCTTCACAAATTATACCCCTTCGCGATGTCCGTCGGGAGTGCTTTTTTTTGGACGCGAAATTACGTCCGCGAGATTATTTTCAGACGTGGCATAGCCCCGTGAAGCTTGAACGCCTTGTTTGCGCAGAACCTTATCAATGAGAGGGGCTTCGCGCACCAGCGCATCTGAGTGAGTGTTGCCTTTCTTAATTTTGTGCAGGACTGCTACGTTGCCAATACATATATGGAGTGCCATGGGCAAATTTACATCGAAAGCTCACAAAGCCAAACAAACTGCCCGGGCTTCGATTTGTGAAGTTATGCGCGGCACCTGTTCCCGAGCGACTCCTGTGGCCCATACCCCCCGTTGCCTTTAGCCAACGGTGCCCCTCATCCGCGCATGGACGCATCAGTAATCAATGTCCCTGGTGTGGGTAGAGCCGTGGGGGATGAACTGAGCTATTCGTCAATAAGGTATAAAGCCATCCCCTCCCAATCTTCAGCGCATGGGGGGNGGTTGGGTCGCTACAGTCTTCCACGGGCCATTTTTAGAACGAAATAGTGCCGAAATAGCGAACCCCCAGCATGACTGCTGCATAAGCCATGGGTGAAGTTATGCTTTTCAGTTTTTCCACGAAAACCTTCTGGAGGGAGGTGGCGTCCCTCAGTTTTCCAATTGCTTTATCGCATAGTGAGGCGGTGTGTGCCTTATGGTTGAACCGCGCCCCGATGAATTCATAACGTTTTGTGAAGGTCTTCCGTTGCTCTACTGTTGCGCCGCACCGGCGCATGTTTTGCTTAATTGTTTAACCCCATAACCCCGTGCATTCGCGAGGCCTACCAATACGGATATTATCGATACAAGGATGTTTTGTCAACTCGTGCGGCAGTGCGCATCTGGGTTTTAAAATTTCTGTGTCACCAGCCCAAATTCCTGTGATAGTATGCGATATTTTTGAACTGCGTTTATGCCTCGTTGGAAGGCGGGTGAACCCTACCAGTTTTCCACTTTCCGTAGAAGCACCGGAAATTTGTGTGTATGTCCGTTGGTAAACCTATTTGGAGAAAAGACTTTTTCAAATCAAAAATAGCGGAGGGACCGTCGTAAGACCCACCCACTTAATGCAAGATATGCCCAGAATAATCGAGGCTTCGTGGTCCTTCTGTTAATTTTTTGCGCTTGGCCAGGCAATAAAACACCTCCTCGGCCATGAAGGTTTCTCTTCCACGATAGTAAATGGCACCACCAAACCTTTAGTGGGTCGTGNCAGTGCTTTTTTTAATGGCTGCCTTCTTCGTTATCTCAGCTTCCTTTTCTGATATTTTTAAGAGAGGCTCCTGTTCCGTTTTGCTGGAAATGACCGGCTGTCGCATAATTTCCCATACCGCATTAAAACGTTCCAGCGCCTTTGGATTGTGTTGATTACTGACCCAGTTGGGCGATAGAGTCGCAACACCTACCTGCGGAAGAGGCAATACTTGCTCATATTTTTTATTGGCTACCTGTGAGTGGCGGCTGCGTCTCAGAATACTGTGTCCTTGAAAAAGCTGGCTAGCCTGTTCCTTTTCATTGTTCGGAAAACCCCACGGTAACACCTCCCAGCCCGAGATGCTCTCCACATGTACGCCGTCAGCTCGGCTGACTTGTTCACGAGGGTGACCCAACGTCCTATGTAACTAACCGAGGTGCATGGTAACTCCAGTGGATCTGCATGTTTCCATAGCCGGGCCAGTGATTGGGGCTGAGATCGTGTTCGATCACTGCGTCCGCCGCGTGTGCTAACACCCCTCTCTTTATTGAATGCGCCGTCATGCCGAATGGTCTGAGAAGGTTTTGCGTGTATCTTGTTGTTGCTTTTGTTAGCCTTTCTCATTCCACCATGCCTTTGATTACTGCAAACGCTTTTTTCGCGCCTTCTCCCCCGATAACCGCGTGTCTCGCTGCTCTCTGTGAATTGATTTTGAAGGGTGTTGGGAGGGCTCCTGAATCTATGATGAGGGCTTTCTGTCTTGCGTGTTGGGTTTGAAAGTTTCCTTTTGGAGTAGATTGATTTTGCCCCACCGACTGACTGTTACCCATGCAAGTCGCAGTGCGACCCAGCATGTGTTCCAGGGCCATCAAATAGCTGATGAGGCCCAACCCCCATCGCTCCATGGGTCGGGCCAGTTTTATTGCGCTTGCGCTTGCCTTTTTTGTAAACCGGCCAAAACCATTTTAGTTGGTGCCCTCCCGGCGGCCAGTAGAGTTAGCAGAGCTCTTGTGTATTGAACCCCGCTGCTCTTGGCCAATTGTAGAATTGCAATAAGAGGAGGAACACTCCCTTCCTGAACCTTTAAATTGTTTTTTTCCTCGAGTTTACAGAATCTTCTCATTATAAACAACCTTTGTTCTCAAGCCAAATCTGTCCACATAGTTTTGGCAATGCCGTTTGACTCTGAAGCTAACGCTGCCACGTACGGTGTGTTGGAAGGCACCGAGATGACGACAATAACGTTTACTGGTGTCTTGAGCCGTGAAATATTTTGTCGTGAGGTGTTCTTCCATTTTTGGGCGCGTAGCTCGAGGAACTTTGCCGGTAGCGCCGGTTCGCCGAACCCTGTTAAGTGGGATGGCATTCCATTCTCTATTCCCGGAGATATAGCCTTTGTTTAATTGTAAAGAAAGGCCCAAGCGACCCAGTATGAATTCCAATACTTCCCTGGCCCCTGAGTTTATCGCTTCCGGGGTCGATAATTGTTTTTTTTTTTCGGATTTCTGAATAGTCTGAAAAATAAGGTAGTCCTCACTCTGTGAATAGGCAATGGTGTCAGTGGTGGCTTTGATCTAAGCACCAGGATGTTTCAGCGCTGTCTGTGTGACGCGCGACTGGTAATATGACCGCCCGCCCACTTGTGCATGCTTATCGGATATCAATTCGTGGCGGATGGGATATGCCTAAGTAACAAAATTGCCCCATACCTGTTGAAAAACAAAACAGGGCTTTATAGGTAGTGGGAAAATGCCACGGCATGCTGACAGGAGTTGCTCGGGTGATTTCTTCAAGAAATATTCCAATGCACCCTCAAAGGGCCGTATGTTATCTTCTGGTCGGAAATCTTTTTCCACAAATTTATTCTTGAGATTTATAACGCTTCGCACCCCAACCTGGGGTTTTGCTGCCTGTGTATGCTCCATCCTGTATCTGTGTCCAAATGTGTCATCTATTGAGATGTCTCTCTTACTGTTTTGTAAAAAAAAATGCAAAGCCGAAAGTGGAGTGTACTGCTGCAACGGGCGCCCAGGCGGATCTACCACTTCTTTCGGGCGTGGGGGTTCAATCTCTTTCTTCTTGAGCCGCGCCTCCATCTGATTGGTCTGAGCTTGCGTCTAGTTATTTTAATTACACAACTCGTTGTTTTGATACTTCAGATGTTTGATTTGGAGATACAGCTGATTGATGCAATCTTGCATATCTACAGATTGGGCGTATGTGCCCTGTTACATCTTGAAGTTTTTCTCGGCCAGCTGTGCTCCGGCCACTTTGCACTGCTAGTGCGTCATCTTTTTTTTCTCCCGCAGAGCCATCCATATAGTTCGAAAGTTAGGCCGTGTGTCATCAGAAACGCTAGAAAAATCCTCATTCTTAGGCATGAAAAAGGGCGCCGTGGATTCTGACAAAGAAACAGAGTTTACTTTGGGGCCATTGTTCAGATGAAGAGTAAGTTCAGCATTTTCAATTGCCAAAGTGCCTACGGCGTGATTCGCATGCGTGCTAAAATTCGGTCTGTGCTCAAATGAAAAGGGCATCCGACCGCAATGTTCCGCGAAGGCTCTGGAAACCGTACGGCTTCGCATCCAATTCCGCATCCAATGGGGTTTTCTGGGTTGTGGTCAACATTTTTTTTTTTCTTACCTCGTGTTTTCTATAGCTGTGCCGATGATCCCGCCCTTCCAGCCACCATCACAGAGCACGTTAACAACCAACCAACTTCTACATGGAAGGAAGCTTCGTTCTTTTAATATGTATTTTGTTCTTTTTGGTATTTATGGTTTAGGTTAATTTGACTTCTTAGTATTTTGTTATAAATTTGCCGGGCCGGTCCAGGGGGGAAATACGCGTTGAAGAAATCCAAGAGCCGTTTTTTCTCACCCAGCACCCCGTAAGCCTACTTGCCGCTTTTTGTGGGCCAAAGCAGCGCATAGGGGCGGCTCGTTTGGCGATGGGCTCG